ACTATTGGAAACAACACCACAATCAACACTTCCAACCAACATCACCACAATAGCAACACCCAACTCACCAATCGTGCCACTAACACCTTCCACTCACGAGATAACAACACCCACACCAACAATAACACTTCCACCACCCAATTAGCCACAAACATTATGTGTAAACCCGCCACAACAACACCACCCACAACTCTCCACGGATCAACACCAACACAACCACAATACCACCACCACAACTCCATGACCGAACCATTTACAACTTACAAACCAAGGCAACACATAAGGTCACATGCACACGCGATAATTGATTCTACTCCATGTAAAACTTATAAAAAAGTTGTGATGTAAATTAAATCAGATTTATTTTGATTTGTCTATTTAAATCATAGTTTTCGTAGGTTTAGGTCATACTTCCTTAGGATGATAAATTAACTCTTTTTATAGAATAATAATTATTTTTAAATAAAAATAAAAAAAATATTATTTTATTAAAAAATATATGTATTACAAATTAATTTGACAAAGGATTCACTTATTTTAAAAAATATGTATAAGAATAAATCTTTAAAAATCACTTATGATCTAATAATTAAAAATAATAAAATTTTAATTCTTATTTTAAATAAATAATTTTTAATTATTTAATTTGATATAAATATATTATTTTTTTAATTTTAATTTGGTCAAAATTGACTCATAGATCTAAGATCAGGTTAGACATATTTTGATCATACATTAGATAAAATTTAATTATTTTATTATATTTGTAGAAATTTATAATTTAGATATATAATTCTCATGAGGTAAAGAGGAAGAAAAGAAGTTTAATTTGTCTTAGGGTAATATATATATATATATATATATATATATATATATATATATATATAATGTTTATTTTAAATTTAAAGTTTCATTAAATGCATCGTATATTACTGATTAAGACTTTAAATATGATCAAACAGTAGTATCAATAATTTTTATGAAATTATGTGTAAGTTTTTACTTTTTTTCTTCTTAAAAATTATTATTATTATTTTCATTTAACTTTTGGTTTGATTGAAAAGTGAAATTAAGAGAGTAAAAAAATAATAATTTGTTTGGATTAAGAAAATAAAATAAATTTTTTAAATATAATAATTAATAAGATTAATTTAATTAATAAAAAAAATAAAAAACTTAAATATCTTTTGTATAATTTAATATGAATCAATATAAATTAAAATTAAAATATATTTTAATATAATGTAATTATTTAATAAAATAAATAAAAACTAAAGTTAATTTATATATAAGTTAAAATTAATTTATATATAAGTTAAATTAAATACAATAATAAATAAGTTACTCTTATATTATTATTATTTTATAATATTAAACCAATATATATATATATATATATAATTTTTTTTATAAATAATCTTCAAATATTTATATATAATATATATATATATATATATATATATATATACTATTTAATATTTTGATCTGTTTGGATTTTTTTATCTATTTTAAAAATATATATTTTAAATTAGTTAAATTTTAAATATATTTTAAATTTTATAGTATAAATTATATATAATTGTTATTTTATTTTTTATATTTTAAAATTAAATAAATATATTTTAGCTAATATTTTGATTTTTTTTTAAATCACAATTTATATGTATAAAATTGTTTCAAATTTATCAAAATTTAACTAAAATTTAAAATTTCATAATTGTTTTTTTATTTCTATTAATTATAATTTTATTTAAATTTTTCACAGATTATATGAATAATACTGTTTGAATCTTATCAAATTTTAACTAAAAATAAAAGTACCATAATTTAACACACAAAAATTATTCCCAAATTATCTATATTTTAAAATATTTCTTGCAAACTTATTTCTTATCAGAAATTCTTCTCCAACTGGACAATTATTTGAATATAAAATAAATTAATAATATTAATAAAAACAAATAATAAAATTAATTCACTTAATTTAAAAAAACAATTAATTAAAATAAATTCAAAAGATAAATTTATTCATAATTCAAATTTAAAATTTTAATAATTATAATTATAAGAGTTTAATTGTTATATAAATTTTACATTGTGAAATTAAAAAAATATTCTAAATAAATAATTAATATAATAACCAATATATTTATTATAAATAGTTATGTTTAATTAAATTATATTTTAATAATACTTTTTATGGAAATAAGAGAATGTATATTTATTTTAATAATAAAATTGAAGTTTTAAGTAGTTATCACTTAATTAATTTGCATTTTATATTTTATACAACTTTGATTTGATTATGTGAAAAAGAAAATAATGATTATATCTCATTAGGTAATCGTACTAAAATATAATGGATTATTTTCTCGTCTATAATTAATAATGTTTATTACAAGTAATAAAAATATTTTTTTTATAAATATTTGTGGAATTCAAATTATATTTAAGTTTTAATATTTATACAAATTATCTAAATCATAAAAAAAGTACGGGCAAATCCAGTCTCACGTTTCCTTTTACAGTGGACATAAATTCAAACTTGTGCTTAAATTTTTTCAGACATATTGAGAAAATCAAAATATAAAATACAAAATAATCAATAATCAATTATAACTTCACTATTTTAAACTACAATTTCACTTATTAATAAATGATTAATTTTTTTATTAATTTTATTTTAATTAAATCATTTGATAATTATAATATTAAAAAAAAATTATAAATGATTGGATGTTTATTAAAAAAAGGTGTCTATGTATAACTATCATATAAGATAGTGAATAAAAAACTTTCTACCAAAATATTTGCATCTTATTCATTTATTATGATTGTTGGGCGTTTAAACAAACAATTATTAGATATTTTTAAATCACATTTCAATGAGTAATAAATAATATTTTCTTCTACCATACCACAACTCTCAAAAGATATACATCTATCATACTATAACTCTCAAAGTGCATAATACAAAGGTGTACAATTTATTAGATACATTTACGTGTGACAAAGATAAATTTCTAAATCACTTATCAATATTTATGCATATAACACTACATATGAGGATTTCCTTGTTAATTTTCATATTACAATACAATATTTTTTTATGGTACATAATAACATTTTAAACACCTCATTTTATATCCATGACATGTGTTTCAATATCTTAAGTCACATACATATCTTTTCTCACGTTATAATAAAATATATTTTTTTAATTTGATATTTCTCTACTCTTATGATCATGATTTTTTTTGTAAGCATTTTTTAACTAATTATTATTTTATTAGATTCCTTATTTTTGAGATTCAATTTACACATATGGAACGTTTAATTTTGAGAACAAAGTTTTTTTTTTTATATTTTTTGAAAACAACTAAGCGAATTTCAAATCCACCAAGTCAAATTTTGATAGAATAAAATCTTAAACATTACCAAAAATTCGCTAGACAAATATGAAAGTGTTGAACGAAATTTAAGTATTTTTAACACTACCTTAAATTCACTTAGCGAATTTAAATATGTTGAAGCAAATTCGTGTCAATAATAAATTGCAGAATTTGTTCAATACTTGTTTATAATGTTTTAAATCGAATTAAATCTAAACAATACTCTCCAACTTGTAAATCAATTTACTAAACTCAATTTAAGAACATACATTTACACAAAAGACTATCATTCTCATCTCATAAAAATCAATTATACATTTACATTTAATGCAATTATCACAAATCAACACATATATAATTACACAATCTAATTTTCTGAAACTCAATCAATGTAACCAAGTCATCTTTAGAATTCATATTTTCTATCATAAAATACTATGAAAATTGAAAAATAGCTAACTTCAACAATCTCAAATATATTACCTCCAAGTTAGAAAATCTAAAAACTCTCAAATTTTTAGGAAGATAGATTATACTAACAAAAATCCTAATTAACAAATTGAGGATATTATAATATTGTCAAACTAGTAAAATTGATATTTTCACAAACAAAGTCTACATGAAAATTCCTTATTCAAATCTAAACTCAAATATGAAACACATGATCTAAAATTGGAAAAAGGAAAACTTATTATATTTATAATTTTGATCAGGTAAAAATGATTTTTCTTTTTCAAAAACACTAAGATATACTTGAATATAAAAATGAATGAAAGAGAATGAGAAATTTAGAGAAAAGAAATAGAAAAAATAAATTAAAGAAATAATAATTTTATAAGAATAAAATTTGAATAATTAAATTTTTTTATTTATAATATTTTTTAGTTATAAAATTTTAAAATTACTTTCATTATACCACTTCTACCTTTAAAGTTAAATTAAATTTTCACATCACTGGTTTATTTTTTTCATTCACCATTTCATTTGTTAGAAGGAGGAAAAAAAATCTATTGTTTGTCAACAAAATCTAATGTAACCAATAATTAGAATAATCATTATATATCTTATCTCACTAATTATAAAAGACTGTCAATTACAATTACACAAATTAAATTAATAATTAAGTTAAGGAATTTGAAAAAAATTCGTGAAAAAAACCCTATACAAAGCACAACATTTCAAACAATCTTAATTCATTATTAATATTATTTGTTTTGCATTTTCACACAAGTTATGCATTGATAAAAAGATATTGTTAGAAATAATACAATTTTAAACATTTTTTTAAATTAATGATATATATTAAAACTATAATTTCTGTCCAAAATTTAAGTCTAAATATCCCAAAATGTTTAAATTAATGAAAAGATGTGAAGGGGCGTTAATACAAGAATAGTGTTGTGTGTTAACTCTAAAGTGAAAAAAAAAAAAAAGAGGTGAATCTAACAACACAAGCAACAACTAATAGTGATCGAGTTCAAATCAATCGTCGTTTCAAACGAAAATTCGTTAACAAAAATTTGCGAACGGAGTGATCGAGTAATCATCACCCATACGTTGTGTATCCGTTATTGAAGAAAATCAATGAAGTGAGAAATTCGATCACAGATGAAGTGCAGATCCGTGGCGTGCATATGGTCCGGCACGCCGTTCCCTCACCGCGTCACCGCCGTTGCCACTTTGGCGGAACCACGGACGTCGACCTTTTATACCGCTGGATCCGATGGTTCCGTCGTCTGGTGGACCCTCTCCAGTTCCACTTCCACACCGGTATTCTCAAATTTTCTGTTCTCCCTCATTAATTATCAAACAATGAAATAATTTTAATAATGATTTCTGCTTCAATCGCTAAGAGCGGTGTCGATTTTGCAGCAAGTTAAGGCTGTGGGCGTGTTGTGTGGTCACGCCGCACCGGTTACCGATCTTGCCGTTTGTAGGCCCGTTGCAGACGCGGAAAACTGTTACACTTCGAGTGCAAGTAAGTTCAGTGCGTTGATAAGTGCGTGTTGTGATGGTTTTCTGTGTGTGTGGAGCAAAAACAGTGGCCATTGCCGGTGCCGGAGGAAATTGCCGCCTTGGGTTGGGACTCCTCGCTTAATTAGAACCTTGCCTTCGACACCGAGATATGTGTGTATAGCTTGTTCCTTAGAGGGGAATGAAGGAGTAATTGATAAAGAAACTCAGCCTAGGAAGCCTCCTAAGTGCACTATTCTTATTGTGGACTCCTATTCGCTTTCCATTACTCAAACTGTGTTTCATGGAAGTCTATCCATTGGTCCAATTAGGTTTATGGAACTGGTCTTGGATGATGACGAGAAGAGGAACTCCGTGTTTGTGGTTGATTCGGCTGGGAGGCAGCAGATGATTTTGATATCGGAGGATCGAGGGGAGAGCTTGGCGGGTTCACTTGGAGATAAAGGTCAATTAGAGAGCTCTTTTTGCGATGAGGGATTGAGTGGTGTGGAGCAAGTTGTTTCGGTTAAAACGTATGGGAATGTTGTTGCTTTAGTATTGGAAAATCGGTGTGTGTTTAGGTTGTTGAATGGTAATAGTGCGATTGGAGAAGTTTCTTTTGTGGACAGTTTAGTTAGTTTGGATCAGGGTTCTACCCAAATACATGCTATTGGTGGCATTTTTCTTGAAAACTCTGACGTGGGGAATGTGTGCAATAGCAATGAATATGGAAACTCGATTACAGTACGATTTGTTGTGTGGAATAATGTAGGTTATGCAGTTATATATAATGTGTTGTATCAGAAGGGTGTTTTCCAATGTGAACCTCTTTCTGAGATTCCTGGTACACGTTATCAACCTGATATGGGATTATCTGTTTTTTTTCAACAAGTAAATCAATATCTTGTATGCATCAAGTCAATTTGCTTAACTTATGAGGAGCCTTTACTATGGAGACCACTTGCCACAATCTGGTCATTGAATGATTTTGATGATGAACCTGGTAGATTGTATCGTCAATGCAGAATGATCGGTGATGGTGTATCTTTCACCGACTGGTCTGAGAAATCGACTCAGCTCAAGGGGCTAGATGGTCTTGAGACTACACCTACTTTTGGTTTGAGTCCAAGTTCTGATAATATAGAAAGCGAACATGTAGATATTGGAAGTAATTATTATGCTTACAAGGGGAAGGTCGTTTCTTCTTCCATGATTATCTCGGAAAACCTCTTAACTCCTTATGCTGTTGTATATGGTTTTTTGAGTGGAGATATAGAGGTTGTAAGATTTGATCTGTTTCAAGGGATTTGCTTGGATGATGCAAGTTCCAGTCCTGATGAAAAGCCAACTGCATGCAAACAGTACTTCTCTGGACATACAGGTGCTGTACTTTGTTTAGCAGCACATCAAATGAGGGGTAATGCCAAAAGCTGGACTTTTAAGCGGGTTTTGGTGTCTGGAAGTATGGATTGCACCATCCGTATATGGGATCTTGACATTGGAAGTCTTATCATGGTAATGCATCATCATGTGGCTCCTGTGCGTCAAATTATTCTTCCTCCATCTTTGACTGTGTATCCATGGAGTGATTGCTTCCTTTCAGTCGGAGAGGATGCATGTGTTGCTCTTATTTCTCTAGAAACTCTGCGACTGGAGAGAATCTTTCCTGGACACTTGAACTATCCGTCTAAAGTTTTATGGGACGTAGAAAGAGGTTATATTTCCTGTCTCTGTCAAACAGGTTGTGGAACTTCTCATGTTACTGATGCTACTGATGTATTATACATTTGGGATGTAAAGACAGGTTCACGTGAACGAGTCCTACTTGGGACAGCTGCACATTCAATGTTTGATCATTTTTGTAAAAGCATCAGCATGAATTCCATATCTGGTACATTGCTGAATGGAAATACATCAGTCTCTTCCTTACACCTGCCAATAGTTGATGATGCAAGGTTCTCTAACTCCCCCTTAAATCGTTCAGACAACTTGCTTACTTCATCAAGGTCATCACCAAATATTTCAAATATGACTGAGCTGAATTCTTCCAAAACAAATGCAGGTAAAGGAATTTCAGTGAAGCCAGATTCGTCCTCTCTGACTGGTCTTAATAGCAAGCTTCCTATCAAATGCTCTTGCCCTTTCCCAGGGATTGTGTCTCTGTGTTTTGATCTTGCATCATTGATGTTCTCATATAAAAAAAATGAGTCCATTGAAAATGGTGGAGGCAAGCCAGTGAATATCAATTTGATGCAGCAGGGAGTCGAGGTGCAAAATCCTAGATACCATAATTCAGAAATTTTAGAGGGCCATGACTGGGTTACTCTATTTGAAGAATACTTACTTCGATATAGCTTGTCATTTCTACATTCGTGGAATGTAGACGTAGAGCTTGATAATTTGTTGATAAGTGACATGAAGCTGAGGAGACCAAAAAATTTTATACTAGCTTCTGGTCTGCAGGGGGATAAAGGGTCATTGACGTTAACATTTCCTGCTCAGAGTGCTACTCTTGAGGTAATCTTTTGGACAGTATGTTGGGAGTTTTTTCTTTTGTGTCTATTTTCAAGCATTCCTGAGACATTAAAAACCTCATTTCAGCTGTGGAAATCATCATCTGAGTTTTGTGCAATGAGGTCATTGACAATGGTGTCGCTTGCCCAACGTTTGATTAGCTTGTCTCATTCTGGTTCAGCAGCCAGCAGGTATAGTGGCAATTACATTAATAGAAAGGAAAAAAACCCCTGCACGGTTATTTGTACTTCTACAGTTTCTTTGCTTTTAAATGAAAATCTTTTAATCACATCTCGTGGTAATTTTTTTTCCACGGAGGAAACCTTTTTTTTCTAAACCGAACTTATCTTGGAAATGTACTTTAAACTTTATTGAAAAACATAGAGATATTTTTGAAACGCTCCAAAGTTTCATAATCCTATTTGAGGTTCTTCACAAACTGGAATAACCATTCATTTACTTATAGTTCAATTTGTTATGGATCCCGTGTTACAGGTGGATTCTTGGTATTATTTGAAACCTATATAATCTTCTTGAAGCTTTTCTTACAACATATACATATTCATTCATAAATAGGAAGATGATGAAAAGAATAATCAGAAAAACAAATGCCCAGATTAGCTTGGCCAACTAGATATTTTGGATCTTACATTCACTTAACGGTAGTCAATGAGCCAGTGAAGTTTGATATTTTTGTAATATTCTGAATACAAAATATTCAGTACGTGTAGGATAAATAATAGTAGGTTTTCCATGCCTGGTTTTCGTGATGCTTGCAAAGATTCTGTCCTGTTGTTTACTATTATCTTATATATTTTTCCCTCTTACTAAATGCCGAAGATTAGCATGAACAACTAGATATTTTGGATCCTACATTCACTTATCGGTCCAGCTGGTTAATGAATATTTTGGATCTTATATTTTTACCCTCTTACTAATTTAACTTTTACTCTTTCCGTAATGGTATTTTTGTGCAGTTTGTAATATGTTTTTCCCTTTGCACTAAGTTAGAAAAAGGGTGCTGATGATTGATAGTATCATATGCAGTGCTTTAGCAGCCTTTTATACTCGGAATTTCCTGGAAAATTTTCCAGACGTGAAGCCACCATCATTACAGGTTGTAATATGTGTTTTTGTAGCTTTATACGTTATTCACAATTAATTTTACACATGTCCTCTTTTATTTGTGTTGTGATCTTGCGAAGAATATACGATAACTTGGGAAGCATCGCACTGCATTAGACATGAGCCAACTCTTAATAAGTAGAATAAGATTTGGAGGAAGTATTCCGGAAGAAATAAATAATAGGAAACAAGTGATTTTGTTCTAGGCGGTTTCAGGGCCAGTAAGGAGGTTACGTTGTTAAATTAGACAAATTGCAATAGGAATATGTATCTTTTTTGTAAATAACCAAAACTAAGATTTTCAGTGGAAGAAGTGAATGCCCTAGTAAAAGAATTCTTGTATTTTACACTCTGAATACCAACATAATTTTTTCTACCTTTCTCTTTCTTTCCTGTTCCTTTAATTCTTGTCAAGCCTTAGCTATTTTTCTTTGTTTTAGAATCTTATGTTTTATTTCGTTCGCATTATGTGTTATTGCTATTTTCTTCAATTTGCATACTTTTAAGTCAACTTTTCTGGTGTAGTGCTGCAATCTAAGGAAATAATTATCACATAATTCATATCTTAAAGAGAAAAAAAGTTACAGTTCAATTTAGATGAAGGATTTCTATTTAGGAGCAATTAAGTTTTTAAAAACTAAACTAAAATAACAATTCAGTTTTTTCAATACCCATTTAGTTCAGTTTAATTGTTTTTAACAGTCCTAGTTGTGAAGCATGAATATTCCAGAAATAATACCATATATGGTAGGTACGACTGGCTGGAACAAAAGTTACAATCCTGTCCTCTCCAATCCCCATAATAATTGCATTATTTTTTGCTACAATATTCCATAAACATAAAAATGCGGCAATTGGGGAAAGTAGATTACAGCAGGGAGAAGATGCCCAATCGTTTTGTCTTTAAACTTTGATCATCCCTCTTTCTTGTTTGTCTAAAATTTCCTTGAGCACAAATTTTGGTTTTAAATAATTGGACCTTGTCCATTATGTGTTTCTTGAAGTAATCTTCATTTAAAAATTAGTGGGTTAAAATTAAGATGCGCTTTAAATTAAATTAAGGGTGAATACTTCCTTACTTTCTCACTTACGAAACAAAATCACTTTAGAGGAGCTGTGACTATTAGAATGCAGAGGTGCCTAACACAATCGTACAAAACTGGCGTGTAAGGTGAGGTTTATACCTCAATTATATATTATAAGTTGATCATATCTCTAGTTGATGTAAGATCTTCAGCACATTCTCTCATGATGAGGAATGAATATTTTGAAAGCATGGAACTGAATATTAAATGGTGGTTTGACAGCGGTCCAATAATGGGTAGAGTGATAGATCATCAAATATTGTTAGAGTCTGATAGACTCTGATACCTTATTAGAAATGGAGAGATACCTCATTCAACTCTACACAATAGGTTTTGTAAGATGAGGTTTACACCTCAATTATATATAATAAATTAGTCATATCATTAGTCAATGTGAGATCTCCAATAGTGACCATGTTTCTTGTGTTTGAGATAGCATAAAATCTGGCAGTCTTGTCCATTCTCTATGCTGCAGCATAACATTTTACTAAAGCTATATTTTATTTTTATTTTTGTTCCATAATGTGATATTACTGGAATGATCAATTCCAATGTTTGATTAGTATTGTAGTTTGTCGTATTTGTGGGTGGTCGATCATGATCGTTCATTGTGTTATTGAAAAACTTCTCAATTACTTGATATCATGTTCTGAAGGCTATATCCTCTTTTTGCAGCTCTTGGTGGCTTTTTGGCAAGATGAAAGTGAACATGTACGTATGGCTGCACGCTCTATATTTCATTGTGCTGCCTCTCATGTTATTCCTCTACCTCTATGCAATTTAAAACATACTGAGTCAAACAATACGAGTTCTCCTAAGGCAGAAAAACAAGGAATTTCCCATGATGAGGAATCCAAGATACTTGCTTGGCTAGAATCATTTGAAGTGCAAGATTGGATTTCTTGTGTTGGTGGAACTAGTCAGGATGCAATGACATCTCACATTATTGTTGCTGGTGCACTGGCTATCTGGTATCCTAGTCTTGTAAAGCCAAGTGTTGCCAGGCTAGTTGTTCATCCGTTAATGAAGTTGGCTATGTCTATGAACGAGAAGTACAGCTCCACTGCTGCTGAGCTTCTTGCAGAGGGCATGGAAAGTACATGGAAAGAATGCATTGTATCTGAGATTCCTCATTTGATTGGGGATATTTTTTTCCAAGTAGAGTTGAGCGGCCCATCTTCCAAGTCAGTGCCCGAAGTTTCAGATGCATCTTTTTCTATTAAAAAGAGTTTGGTGGAGGTTCTTCTTCCAAGCTTGGCTATGGCTGACATAATAGGCTTTTTGTCTGTGATTGAAAGCCAAATTTGGTCTACTGCATCTGATTCACCTGTCCACATGGTGTCCTTGTTGACTCTTATAAGGATCATGCGTGGTTCTCCAAAGAATTTGGCTCAATACCTTGACAAGGTTTGTGAAAATACTTGTTACTCAGACTAACCTGGATTTTATTAATCTTTCGGATAGCTAGTTCTAGGTTGATTTTTCACCTGATTTCGTGTTTTTGATTCAATACCTACCTAAAGATGTAAGGGTGTTCATTGAGATGAGTTTTTTATGTGATTTGTTCAAACTCGATCCAACCCAAAATCCTATGGGTTGGGTGACGGATTTTGTATGTTCATTTTGAGAACCAACCAAACCTTTCAAATCAAAATTACTAAATAATATTAACATTAATAATGATGTAACTATTATTTAATTTATTCAATTAATATATTAACTAAATATGTATTTTTGAAATATTATATTATTAAATTATTCAAATGATAAATAATATAGTATATTTAAAAAAAAAATTCTAAAAATATATATTTTTTAAAATTAAAAAAAAAATTTTTTTTAAGTTTGTGACCCCCAATTAATCCAACCCAATCAAGGGTGAGATGGGTTGGATTGGGTCAAATACAAAAAATACAAAACCTGAACCCAACATTTGGGTTGGGTTGCGTGATGAGTTTGGTCAAACTGACGCGATCCAACCCGTGTACACCCGTTTCAAGATCTTTATTTTTATTTATTTCTTTGGCTTAAATCCACCTTTAGTTCTCAGTTTTACAAATGTGCAATTTTAGTCCCTCATAAATATAATTGCACATTTGGTCCTTTAGTTTCCAAATTTAGTGATCAAACCTTGTTATTAATATTGTACGGGAATAAATAACTGTACAATCTTGTTTTGGGATTTAATGGATTTTCTCTAATAATTTATATATTAAATCATTCAATAAAAACTAATTTCATTAATATAATTTAAATTTTTAGAATTCATTTTTTATTATTTATTTTTATTTAAATAATTTTTAAATTTTTAATCAGATCAAAATTGATCAGTTAGTTCATTGACCTAACATAGGATTAGGTTAGGCTAAAAGTTATGACCCGTTATAAAATATGAGTCAAATTAGGCCATGAACTTTTTTTACATGAGCTATAAGATCAAACTAGATTGAACTAGACTGTTCGTTTTAAGCTCACTAGTGGGAAAGACCTTTGTTGTTGTTTTGTTACATATATATAATGCGGACTGCTATAACTATTTATTATGTGCTAACTGAATGTTATCAGTATCTCTTGGTTCTTCATTTTAGGTATAAATTTGTTTCATATGGGTTTGTATACTTTCTTATAATGAATTTCACTAGTGGGAAAAACCCGTTGTTGTTGTTTTGTAACATATATACTAATGCGGACAGCTAGAACTATTTATTCTGTGCTAACTGAATCTTATCAGTATCTCTCAGTTCTTCATTTTAGGTATAAATTTGTTTCATATGGGTTTGTATACTTTCTTATAATGAAATTCCTATTGTTATCTCTTTCATGCTGTTTTTTTTTTTTTTTTTTTTTCTATTCTTAATGTTGGGGAATTGACTATTTTGTGAGGCTATCATCTTTTTGTACTGAATCATGTGCAGCATAAGATTTGCTAGTAGTCCTGTCTGCCCCTTGTAATTTAAATTTCATATTGGTTATTTGTTTTGAAACATTAAAGCATGAATTTTTGTGACAGTGCGTCAGATCTGCAGGTTGTCAACTTCATTTTACAGACTATAGATCCTAGCAACTCAGTCATGCGGAAGGCTTGCTTCCAGAGTTCAATGACAACTTTCAAGGAACTTGTACGTGTATATCCCATGGTAGCTGTCAATGATTCATGTACCAAATTAGCAGTTGGAGATGTGATTGGAGAAATTAACAATGCAAGCATCAGGGTTTATGATATGCAAAGGTATTAGAATCAAAGATAGACTGCAATTATTAAATCAGAATGGATTCAGGCTGAAATGTTTAAACACCCTCCAATTGTTCTGTCTCTCATGTACTTTAGACAAGTGCACTTGATTTTGTGTCATTTATATATTATATGCAAGGTGAGAAGGTCAAAGAAATAGAAACCATTAAATGTATCAAGTAGAATTAATTAAAATTTTCGAGGAATAGAATAACAACAATGGGGATATTCAAGGGGGAAAAGAGAGGTTTTGGTGGTTCTATACTTACTGCTTAGTCTTACCCGTGAGTGTATCCTAAATAGCTGACTGGTATTTTCTTTGGTTTGATAATTGTATTCATATTCATAAAATGGAGAAAATCATCAGATCTAATACATATGATGGCATTTTTAAATCATCATAACAGTTTTAATTTCCATTTTACAAATAATTGGCGACTAAAATGTTAATTTAATAGTTAGTACCATCGTTATCATGGGTAGGCAATGATGATATAGACAATTTTTTAAGAACTCTAAGGTTTAATGGAATAAATTAGAAATTGATTATGGACGTAAGCTATTTTCCCAGTTTACATGATAATGGCATTTATAATGTGTTTTCTCTACTTCTTGCTCTCGTCATTCTATGGTTCCCTTTTTGAAATTTTTGATTCAAAATATTTGCTTGTGTTTCTTCTCTCTGTGATATCTGAAGAGATAAAAATTTCCTAAATAGAGAACCTCCATTTTTTTATGCAGTGTGACAATGATAAAGGTTTTGGATGCAAGTGGGCCTCCTGGACTTCCAACTCTACTCCCAGCAGCAACATTAGGGACAATGTTGACCACTGCCATTTCAGCACTGAGTTTTTCACCAGATGGAGAGGTACTGACAATTTGTGTTGACAAAAACCTTGACTACTTGGTGTTTGATATGATTTAGTTGGTAGGTGTTGGGATTAGCCAGCCAAATAATTATATATAAAGAATTGATCTTATTCATAATCTTAATTATATTAAACAAACTATAAACTCTTACATATTTATTGTAAGATAATGAATTTGCCATTTTCATTCAAACCTTTAGTTATTATTTTTATTTTCTGGTCTAGCAGAGTAGCCAAACTGCTAGAGATAAATTTAAACTGAGAAAAAACCATAGTCGAAACCATTAAAAAGAATTGAGAGGTGTAGACATTTTTTTTGACAGAACATTCTAGCGTCATAAATCATTTGATCAATGGAGTTTACCCCTTCTGGTGAGGAAAGGCTGGATTGTTCATACACTTCTAATTTAAAATAAAGTGTCTGAAAACTTGTTTATTTTGATTCAGAAGGAGAAATGCATTGGAGTATGTGTACCATGCATCAGACTTTAGATGTAATAATGTCCAAATCTTACCAGAAACAAGTCCTGAGGATCATGATCAAACAAACATCCATTCTCTATCTATTGCGGAAGAGATATTTATAATCTTTTAGGAAGTAATGATCAAGTAAAGGGTAAATTCTTTATTTCCCATCCTTCTGGTCAAATTAAAAAGATTCCTAATTATAAGTGCCACACTTTCTAACACACTACCTATTATTGCTTAAAATTCATTTGAAACTACAAAATCAGGAGCGGAACATATTAAATAATGAAACCCTCAAAATAATGTGATTTTCGATCAATAATATTGTGTCCAAAAGAGTATGTTAGAGAGTGTGCTACTTGTATTTTTTTCCCTGATTATTCAATACTGCTGTTAATTTCTGCATGACCCCATTTTATGCCAAATATTGTGTTTCTTCTTTATGGATTTATTTGCCGCAAAATTGGTACTTACTGTAAGTATCTCAAACTGATTTCTTTCCCTCCTACACCCGGAATATTCTTCACTTGTAGGGACTGGTTGCTTTTTCTGAACATGGGCTACTGATTAGATGGTGGTCACTGGGATCTTTCTGGTGGGAGAAACTAAGCCGGAACTTTGTTCCGGTCCAGTGCACCAAACTAATATTCGTTCCTCCTTGGGAAGGATTTTCACCTAATTCTTCAAGATCAAGCATAATGGCGAATATTTTGGAAACTGACAGGCTGCTGAACTTTCAGGTAATTTTTTTATTTCCTTTTCTCTCTTTTTTTACTGAAGCTATTGTCCAGCGAATGAGCCTAATACCCGGTCTTCAACTGAAACTGATACCTGAGGGGAAGATACAGTGAGTTGTATAAAGTTATATTTAACAGGAAAATTCAACCGCTAAGCTGGATACTCCTTATTAGTTATTAGTTTAACTAAGTACATGATGAAAGCATAATAGAAAGTTGGTTGAAAGTATACTAAATTACATTGAATTGGTTGAGATGCATGAATATAAATGGTAAATAGATTGGGATGAAAGCTTTTCTACATTCACCATCTTTCATTAGGAGTCGTAAGGTCATTAAGTCATCTACTATGTCAGGAAATCTATTTCTTCTATTGAGAAATGCCACCTATATTTCCGTTTGTAGGATAATGCAAGGGATTCAAATCATGGGGACAGTCCAAAACAGTTGCTTCATAATTTGGATCTCTCCTATAGACTAGAATGGATTGAGGGGCGGAAAGTACTTCTTACAAGGCATGGTCATGAATTGGGCACTTTTCAGTTATAAGCATCTACTAGTGCCGATTCTTTGAAATTCTTGCTGGGAATTTTCATTGATTCCAGAATTTAGTTGAGGCAATCATGAAACGACTCTTTAGCTTCTATAGCCAGCCCAAACTAGCAACAGAAGATTTTGTATTTGCCCGTACTAGCATACTGTTTAAAGAGGTATTCGTTGGAGATCTTGTAATCGGAGACACCGCCCTTTGAGCATTTTTAAAGTTCAGCTTAATGATACCACTACCAGGAGCCAATTGGATGGTCTGAGTGCGACTCGAGTTACTTTGGCTATCTATCTTTTGTCAGAAGCCTTTACAATATAAGAACCGTGAAATTTTGTCAGAGAGCATTCTTTCCCCCCTTAATTTTTGTATAGAACTCTGGCTTCTCATGTAGTTCACTTGAGTTTTTTTTTTTTTTTCTTTTTCTGAGGATCCCATTGATTTGATCATGCTCATGTAATATTGATTAAACGAAAGGAAAGTAAATACGACAAGAAGGCCATGATTACGTGTGGTAGTGATATGTAGAAATAACAAGTTTATTATATATCAATGTAGCTTTATTTTTGCCTTGGACAAGTTGAATTACTATAATCAGATAGAGTGGAGGATAATTGTTGAACCTCACCTTTCAATATAAGACTTTTGTGAGATGTCGGTGAGGTGGTCTTAAGAGAAGCTGTGTGAAAATGCTGGATTAAAAATTATCCAAAGAACAGTTAGAAAGGGAGATTCTTAGAAAGTTCATTTAAAATTATTATAGTCATTCATCGTAGATCAATTTCAACGAGGCAATATATTTTTTTTTTTGTTCTTTACATAAAGAATGGACTACAGCATTGGCTACTTCAAAAGTCCAGTAGTTCCTTTTAGAAAACCTAAGGTTGAAAGTCAATAGTCTTTGTTTAACCGTGATTTCATGATATTTAGTTACGAAAAACCCTTTGAGTCAATACGCCGCCGTTGTGGGTTATCATGACATTATTTACTTGCTCTTTCTCACTTAAATAAAAAGTCACCGACTCTTTAACTTTCGCGAAAACTATACCAATAAATTTATACCCCCTGTCCAATGAATTTTTCTTGAAAACAACGTAACATCTTGATACGTTCCACAACACAACTATTGCAAGTGAAAATTGTAGAACCAGAGAGGTCTCTCCTACAATCTACAATTTTGAAGGACTGAATGATTTAAGGGGGTATCTTTCGAAAACTTGGAAGGTCGGTTGGTATAATTACTGTGTTTTGTAAACTAACTATAGTTTGTCTCATCATTGAAAATAAATAAGATAACGTGTCATAAATTTATAAAAAATAGATAAAAATGGAATGCGTGGTAGTCTTAGATAAAAATTGAATCTGTGATAGCTTTAAATAATAATTGAATATGTGTGGTAATTTTGTGAATCTGACCGTTTGTTTGAGTAGCTGAAGGATATTATATACTAACACATAAAGGAATATCACTTTTTGTACTCACAACATCATAGTTTATAAAAAGTGTTGTTATTTTAAACCCACAATGTAGTTGAAAATATGCGAATCTGCATTCAAAACAATATTTTAAATAATAAAATCAATTAGTAAAAATAAGAGAATAACTTGAACAATAACTTTTTTTTAATCTGTCAGTTTCGTAGAAGACTATTATACTAACATCACTGATCTATCATCTACCAATAACTTCTATAAAGAAGTATGCAAATTACAAATAAATATAATTCGTGTAAAAAATAAAACTTCCACATTTTGTATATTTTTTTCAAATAAAAAACGAGTAGTGCAAGCTGTCAAATTTTTCTTTATAATTTTTAAATTTTGTTGAACAAAGAAATTAAAAAAAAAAAAAAAAGAGAAACAAATAAAAATAGGTGAAAGACATTAGTGAGAAGAGAAGATATTTGAGAGGAAAAGAGTTGAGAGATGTAAAAAAGATAAAGAGAAGATGTTTAAACGTAAAGGACATAATATATATATATATATATATATATATATATATATATATATATATATATATATATATAAGTGTGGTGCGTTATCACACCGTGATTTCTTTAAAGATAAAATATCACTTTACAATTAAAAAATTAAATTAAAATATATTACAATTATTGGTAGACCTCAATAGCTTCAAAATAAATAAGGATGACAATATTTAAAAAAAAGTCTATATTAAAATATTTCTTACCATAAATGTCATCGTATGTATATGTTCTATTTAGGAATAACTATTATGTAAATAGTATAAATAAATACACAATAAATGTACATATATTAAGTTTATAAAAAGACAATAATTACCTTGCAAATTCTTTTATGTCCAGAGCATTATCTTGTACTACTAGTATGATTGAAGAAGTGAAGGTAAGAAATATAATTTTACCTTGTGATATAACAATTATTCCTAAATGGAATCTGTACGTACTGTCACAATTCTATATTTGGCATTGATAATCTATATATTCCAATTTGAGGATATTCTTAATAGTTTTTCTATTATAATTGTGATAGTATTTAGGAATAATTGTTATGTAATTAGAATAGATGAAGAGGTAATAAACTTTATATTTATATATATATTTTGTTGAACTTGGTCACCAATAAAGGAGCAAGAATTATATTATAAATTCTTTTTTATTTTTCTCTATCATTTTCGATACATAAAAATGATATATTTTCTGAATTATTCTGTTTCCCATTTTTCTTTTAAAATGTATTTATAAGCATGATTACATTTATCTTTTAACTTTTCTTTTTGACTTATTAAATACTTAATGTTCTTTCTTTTGTTCTAGCATACAACAACAACATATGTGTAGTGTATTATGAACTCATCGAGATATAGAGAAGTTAAAATTTAATAACCAACTTCATTCCAATATTCTTTTCTTATTCTGTTCCATTTAATGTGAAATTAAAATGTATATCTTTTTTTAATCTATTATATTTTAAAGCATATTGAACACATAAAACAAAACTTACGTATACATTTGTTTTCTTTCAGTTTAGCAAATCTAGTAAATTACGAGTATAATAAAAAAAAATGCCACAAGGTAATCGTGCAAAGTTTGATAAAATTTATGATAGGATAAAATAAGAAAATGAGTTAGAGTAGAGTATATGTATAATCTTTAAAAAATAAAATAAAATAGAAATCGATACTTGATAAATTTGTATGCTACATTATATACATTATGAGCGTGTTGCAAATTAGATATATAGTTAGTTAGATAATGTATATGATATGATAAATTTATATTTCGATGGGATAAATTAGATAATATCATAATATAATATAATATAAAATATATGTAATAATTTTTATTCGGGTCATAAAATTATGTCTCTATGACTAGGGCATCCTAATAATATTTTTCTCATTTTAGGATTTTCAAAGCTTCATGATTCTTCTTTTTTTCTTATATGTGATTTATCCTACACATCAAAACTAGACCCATGACATCCTTTGACTACTTAATTAGTGTAACTATTCTTTTGTTTTCACATTTCTCAAAGGTGACATCATTACCCTCAAATAATAGATGAAACCATTTGAGGTAATTAAGGAAGATTAATTACTCGTTGTTGTCATCCTCTAACCAACCCTCAAAAGCCCCAACCCAAACCACCTACAGAAAAAACGAAGAGAAACAAGAAATGAGATTTAGTTGACAAGTGCATTTAAATACAAAAGAGAGAATGGTGATAATTTTCCTATAATCCTATCAAAGTGAAAGAAGAAGAAGCATGCATAGTAGAACAAGTTGTTAAAAACAATTCAGTTTAGACTACCATTTTATAAAATAAAATAAGTAGTGAAATCATATAATTTCATGTATGAAAGTATCATTGTTAACTCTCAATGTCATGTCATACTATGAGACACTCGTTTTCAAGTCAAAACACTAATGATTTGTCAGTAGTCATATCAATATTGTAAAAAATAAGAGAGAAAGACACTAAATATTCCAAATCAAATTCCAATAATTTCAACGAACATACTAAGATCAACAAAATGGACCTAATGATAGCCACGATATTAACCGAAGCAAACACAAGACAGTATACTAGATATCGAACACAGATTGGCATGACATCAATATATAATTAGTAACCTTAAGAAGACGATGGTGAACAAATACTCTAAAACCTTCCCTAACCTAAGTCCATTTCAACCCAACAATTAATAGTGAAAATAGTTAGGAATCACAAAGAGGACGCTTAAACAATCTAAAGATAAATTCCACAATAGGTCACAGCATATTATCTTATCTTATGCATTATGCTACCAATACAAGTAAAAAGACCTATGAAAATATCAACCATCACATATAAAGAACAACTGATCAACTCTAACACCCTCATATAATGTTCACAGGGACGTGAACATCGAAATCCTTATAATAAGTATCCTTCTACCATCATTTCCAACTTAAAGATCAATTAAAAGGCACCAACCTTCCAACATCTAACATAAAAGCTCGCGACAAGTATTCTCTAACTTTGGCCAATGATCAACCGTTATATTTCAACACAGTTCTATTTCTTATGGATGGAAGAATGAAAGATTCACTAAATACTATGGAAATCGGCAAAAAACAAGAAAAGAAGGGAAACGATTGTTTGAAATCGCAATATCTACAACCATAATTGCTATTGCAACATTAGAGCGTATCAACCGCAATGTAAAATCGTGATATATAACCACAACTGCAATTTAAAACACCCAGGAAACTGAGGAGGATAGAAGGAGGGTGTTAGAGACTATAGAAAGGCCTGTTTCTACATATTGTCCATTAAAAAAGAAAAACTAAATCACAAATTTGCGCTATTCATCATTAGTTTGATAGAGGAACTAGTCAAGAGTGTGCATAAGCATCCATGAAACCTCCATCTAATGCAAAATGTTGGCACTCAAGTCCAATAAACTTCTCAAGATCTGAGCTTGGAATCCAACCATCACCAAATTGAGCACTATCATCATCCAACCACTCAAGAAAATCTTGCTCTTTCTTCAAGTCCATGCTTTGTTGGACACTAGTTACAAGTCCATCTTCAATGGATTGCATTACCAAAGGTGTCCTTGAGGAACAAGTAGTCTTCTGGTTACGAGTGGTGGGAGGGGGAATCAGGGAATTGTTCTTCCGAGTGGTCCCAGCAAGAGAATTTCTTCGAGTTGGGTGGGGATGGCTGTGTTCAGCAGTGTACGTAACCAGAAAAACTGCAGGATCTAAGTGGCTCCTTTCAACCTGTTTCCTCGCCAAACACCCTTTGGAACTGCTGCATCTATAGTAGCTTCGTGGATAGGGAGAACCCTTTATTGGTTTCTGCCCATATTTACGCCATGCCCACGCATCGTCAAGACCTTCTGCTGTTGTCACCTGCTTCACCATACTCTTGTTCTGGCTCTTCTTGCTGCAACAACATGTACATCTTATTTACTTTGCCCTACCACACCCCTTTGAAAAAAGATCATACAGTTTTAAGTGTATGTAAACAAAATAGGTAAATTCTACTCTCTCTCTCTCTCTCTCTCTCTCTCTCTCTCTTTCTCCTTTGATGTGTTCAAACTCATTCAACTGAGAGTCCGAAAAAAACTGTGCTAAAAACTTTCCCAGGGTAGCTTGATAACTTTCTACACAAATCCTATATCACAAACATTCAACTTCAAATATATTTCAATCAATTATCTATATCAAAATAAGAAGATACTTGGTCAACAAATACTGCAAAGTAAGTGAAAGTTTGTTTTTGATTGAATGCACAGTTATAATCAGTTAAGTAACATACCTTTTTTTACACTTAGGTGTTGGGGGAACTTTCAGACCTTGTAGAGCTACTTTCTCTTCTGATGTGCTAAGCTCTTTGACTTGTTGGGGTTCTATGGGGATAGATAGGGAAGTTGTAACGATGGTGTGAGGTGAAAGAGGGTGCAAAACTGGGTAGAAAGGTTTGTAAAGCTCTTCCAGATCGTCAAGGACCCTCGTGGTTTCTGAGAATTCGGGAAAGCTATCAAGCAGATCATCTTGGTCAGAAAAGAAACAAGAAAAATCAGGATTTGGATCGTCCATAGTGGTGGCTTCACCACTGCTTCCCCTCACAATAGCCTCCAAATCCCAGTCCCTCAAGCACGCAAATTCATCCATCAACCAAGTAGAACAAAGAAAACAATTAACAAATATCAAGCAAAATAAGGGTTGTGTTGGACCGTGTGACTTCAAAATTGAAATGAAAGTCAGAATTTTTTTTTGCAAAGAGAAGAGGGTCTTGAAGAAATGTCAACCGAAATGTTTGGCTATATATAGATAGATGAAACGGCAACCAAAGTTTTGGATATATGTTATCTCTTCTTGCTTCAAAGTTCAAATTGGCAATAGTATTTCAATAGGGTTGACTAAACTATAAAGTCAAAACGAGAGAGCAAGTGGATCTGGAGAAGGGATATTTTTTTCAGCGATTCGGTGCTGATCCCATTAATATTTTGCCCAACTTTTCGCTTTATTTGGGTTCATAAACGAGTGAATGACAGGGAATAAGACAATTGAATCAGTCTTCTGGTTAAGTCAATTCAATACATGCAACTTGGTTGGAGGATCTTGTACGTAAGGGGCCAATAATTTGAAGTTTAAATATTATATATATATATATATATATATATATATATATATATATATATATATATATATATATATATATATATATATATATATGTGTGTGTGTGTGGATTAAGCTTTAGTCTTCACTTGCCGTTTTTCTCTTGCGGCTGAAAATAAATAAAAGTAATAGAAGTCCTGGTATGAATTGAGTTAGCTAGGTATATAATTTATACAGTATATATTTATAATACTTTATGTAACACTTCCTGCGCATTAATTATATTTTAATACTTTTTTCTCTTTTCTCTGTTTATTCATTTTTTATTGTCGAAAAATATATATAAACTCAACTTGTGCGATAGAAGATCATGTTACGTCATGCATGCATGCGAGTTTAGTTACAAACCTGGAAGTTTCTTCCAAATCACCTCTTTTTTTATTTATATTTTTTGCCTGCAACATATTTCTCTCTGTTTGCTACGTTATCTTCGCACACGAAATAGTATATAATTTTTTATTATATGCATCATTCTTATAATATATAAACACAAAATGTCAAATTAATATATAAACTCAAAGTATTAAACTACAATTAACTCATTAACTTTATTTTTTTTTTTCTTTATTCAAAACGATAATTTCACTCTGGATCCATAGACTGATATTTGTTAGTGGTATTGTAGTAGCCAAACTTTATTCTTTATTTGATTACGTTTGAGTTTAAGAAGACAATTAATTTACTGATTTTTATGCAGTGTGTTGAAGTTGTATAATAATTAGTTGCATAACTGGCACGTTTCAAGCTCTTTCGTCATATATAGGATGTTAGGGTTATCACTGTAAATAGCTCCAATCCTTGCTTAGATTTGAGACCACACTCTCCTTTTTGGGCACTATAGCATCATACCATATACTATAAATTATAGCTAGGAATCTAGCAAAACCAAACTTAATCACTTCGTTCTTTCGTTGTCCACTTTAGAGATGTTCCTCTCTTTGATCACAAGATAATAAGAGTTTAGATATTCCTCCAAAACGCAAACAGGAGAGGCACAAGAAGAAGAAAAAATAAAAATAGAGAACAACTGGTATATACATTATTGAAAAGATAGAAAGAATAGAAAAAAAAAAGATAGAAAGAAAGTTTATATATGTTTATAAAAAGTATTCTTTAGTACAAATTTTTGAAAGAAAGTTGTTCAAACACTGCCCAATTAAGTGCATGTAAATGCATTTTCCTTTCACCAAAGGCTGTATATACCAAGTTATGAAGTAAATACGCTCTTGAATTAATAATAAAAGGAAGTAAATATATGTTGCAAGTTGCAAGGAAGCACTTCTTGGGTGCAATAATAATGGGGATATATTGTGTTGAATAGAGTTAAATTGAGAAGGACAAAAAGTAGAGCAAAGAAAAATATAAACACTTTAAAAGCTGAAATGTTGTTGGTTTCGTACAATGCAGGGAAAGTGGTGAAGGGAAATGTGGACTTTTGTGAGCAAAGTGGTCCGTGGAGTACAGTTTCAAACTTTCAAATCAAATGTTACATTTCCATCATGTTAGCCCAATTTTATGACTTTACCAGCTGTGCCTGTTCTGTTCACCAGAGTCATAGATTGAAAATTAGGTTATGGGAATTCTTCTTCCCTTGTACCATGCTGGTTCTGGTTTGGTAACAAAGTCTATGGTAGGATAAATCCTCTTCTAAAAATATTTATATATAAAAATAATAAAAAATTACAAAAAATATGTAAATTATTTCATCTAGAAAAAAAATCTCAAATTCATAATAATAATCTACCACATTTTTCTCTATAAAATATATAGTAAGATTAAAATATGTATTGGAAGATAAATTAAAATTATTTTTTATATAAGATAATTTATAAAAAAATTCATTTAGCTTGTCAACATTAAAAATAAATTGTAATTATAAATATTTAATTTTAATTCATAAAATATTTATAAGAAATTAATAGATCAATAAATATTGTTCTGAAAAATTATTATTAACAAATATGGGGAGACTACAATAAAAATCACGAAGAAAAAATGTGAAGATAACATTTTTCCGTGAGTTATTTTTATGATAAACAATAGTTTTGTCCTAAAGGATTTAGTTGTAGTTTATAATTTCTTTTATCCTATTTTGATCTCTTAAAATACAATTCAATTTTTAGTGACGTGGCATTCGAATGGTTTCCATATGTTAAATATTTTTTTCGTTTCCGTGAAACTTTAAGTTTGGTTTTAGTTTTTATAAAAATTAAATTTTGATTTTTACTCCTATGAAATAAAATAAAAATTTGATCTTACTCTTCATAAAGTTTTAAAATATGATTTTTGTTCAATTAGTTTGTTATCTTTAATATCTTTTTCATACACTTTCGCATTCATCCTACAGATGATAGTTGTCCGTACAACTAGAATCTAGTTATTACCAGAATAGTTCAATCAACTCTCAAATTATAGAATAATTGTTTTGTGTCGTTAAATTTCTCTGTTATGACATTTAAACCAGAAATATTAGCACTGCAATCTCTATCACATTTTATTGAATATGCTCTCAATTGTTTATTGATATTTATTAAAAACAATAAGAAAAAATGAGTTTCAATCTTAATTTTGTAGATTTCAATAAATTTTATGACTCCCACTTCTTATAATTATATGTAAGTTCACATGAATGATCCTAGCAATTTTGGATCAATAGGAATAAAGGTAAATTTATTGACCCTACCAATAACATTATTATGTCATGATTATTATACTGTGTTGATTTAATAATTCTTAATATTCTACACTAAAAATTAAAACTTTTATATTTAGACTTAATTGCACATCATTTAACATAGTGATGGTGTTAAAAGTATCACTTTGTTTCGAAATTTTGTAAAATGAAATAATTAAAAAAAATCATGAGAAGTCATCACGTTGTTAAGAATTAAACAAGTTGAAAAATAAATATGAAGTTCGATGGTAAAAATCTTCTTTTCGAGAGGTCATCGCAAGCTCTTGCCATTGACCAACTACTTTATCGATCTCCTCCCCAGACATGACTCATGCCTCAGGTTTGTTACTTTATTTGTCCTTTATTCTCTGAACAAGTAGAATAAAGTATAAAATTTTAATATTTGGAGAATGTTTCATTGAAATTGAAAAACTAACAAATTGGGTTGAATGGGATCCTTTTGACAATTTTAGATTGAAATTGAAATTAGAAATTTCAACTCACCTTTCTGAAAAGGCTATTGCATTCAATTGAAGGTGCCTCTATCCAAATGGCTTCAGTATGGCAATTGAAAGTGCTATGCTTTAGTTTCACCTATATTAAAAATTAAAAAGAAGGAAGATTCTTATTTGATAAAAAAGAAACTGTATCATTTAGAAACTGTCACCATGTTTAAACTAATCATGTTTTCACACTTAACAAAATGACAATTTCAAATGCAATTATATTATTATATATTATTTAAAAACAAAGGGTTAGAATGAATACTACTCGAACTAAATGACAAAAATGATATTACAAAAAGAAAGAATTGTGCACATGTTTTCTGGTACCCATGGTAAGTTAAGTATGGTTAATTGAAGGGATGAGTAGACATCAATCAATAAAAACTTCAGTGCATTTTCCCTGATCTTCAGTCAAAAAGGAATAAGTATCAAGGTGGCTGATAAAATTAAAATAGAAAACTGTAAATACGAATCAAAAGGAACCCCTGTTGACATTATGAGAACACACAATTTTACCATCCAATCCTGGTTTCAGACGCACGCACTTATAATTTTTTAGCTTACAAAAAAAATGAAAATTAAATTTCAGAAAATGCTATTTAATTAATACAACATAAGTTGATAAAGCTAACCAATGATAATTTATCTAAACCCTTCTCTCCCAATAAATATAATGAATTATTAGAAAAGGCCGAGAAAAAAAAACGTATCAAAATTTCAGCTTTTCTTAGATCCCAATCGCACTCTTTTCCCTTCGATACAAAACTTCCTACTACCTGTCAGCTGCAATCAAGGAACAGATCATGTCAAAATGTGGAGAACGATGAATGAAATGATAATAGCACGGATAATACCATAGTGTGGAATGTCGAGTGCAACATTATTTCAATGCGAATTGCCTTAACTATCATATATACCTTTTGCTTTAAGTAAGAAATAGCCTCTCTTTTTGAAGAAAAGTCAGACAAAATCGAAGATGAATGTTCATCAATAAGAACTTTGAGCTGTTTGAGTTTCAATGATTCTCCAGGCACCTGTAGTTAAGCAGAAGTAATCCATCATGAATTTCCCATTAAGGGGGAAAAAATTACTTACAACACAAAATAGGACTCACCTGCTGTAAAATCTTTTTGCACAACTTTTTCACCTTCACTTTGCATTCAAGAATCTTTTCTACTTTAATCAAGTCATCGTGGACTTGTTTTTCAAGAGAATCCATGTCAGCAGAATCTGCATCACTATCGTCAAAAGATGTCTTTTTACCCTGATAATAGCAGCCAGCTACTTTCTTGGGTCTGTCCTTGATGCCTAGTCCTTGCTTCCCCGTTGTGGATTTCTCCTGGTATAACAATTATAATTAATTATGTTGCTATATTATTAATTATTACACCGAGCACGTTGGCAACGAAATTATTACCACCACATAGGACTAGGATTTGAAGATAACAGTTAAGAGTATTGACAGGTACGGGTATCCATTAACTCAAACCAATTCTTGTGTTGGAACAATCAAACTCATTGACCATTGGATTGAGTATTGGGTTTTGGTGTTGAAACCCATGAGCCCAACCCATTCATTACATAATATATTGTTCATTTTAATTTATTATTAGTACAACTTATTGAGAAAAATCACATACATTAAACATCATTTTTTTCTTTTTTGTCCAAGTCTCCTTACTCTAGCATTCCTACCATCCTTATCGAATAACTAATCTTCCTTTTGTCAATCCTAGACTTCCAAGTCATGTTTAAGAACTTTATCTACTTTTATTCCAATGGTAAACAAACTATAAACTTAACATTCTCTCGAAGAGCATGCTCTAAATAGAGGTGGGTATACGGACCAAGGTCAGCGTGCTAAGACCCATTAGGCCCACAAACCCTGTGAATTACCCGCCTACTTTTAAAATAGGCGGATAAATATTCAGGACTTTAGAGCTCAAACCTTCAGTTCGCGGATTTTACAGATTTTATCTACGAGCTCATGGACTAACTTTTTACCTGTTAAACATAGTCTTTATTTTAACTTTCTATACACATCATTCAAAGCCAAAAGTACAAAAACTCAGACGGGCCTCGCACATACAAAAACCTAGATCTTCTTTTGTTTGACTTGCCCCATTCAATTTGCTCTGCCTCTGCAGGGTAATGCTGCCACATCCAAACATCAACTTCGCCACCCCACCACCAGACCATGTCCAAAGGACCCTATCACCCCTGAATGTAAAAGATACGTAGGCTCATGCGCTTTAGTTTATGTTATTCTTTTTGTCTATTTGGTATCCCTAGAAATTGAGTTAAAAAATGCAGTGAGATACATTTGTTCGTTTATTCTTGTTTTTCATGGACTCCACAAACTAGCCTTCTTTCTAAGCAGGAGGGACGTTTAAAAAATTTCTTAAAATTAATTAAATTATATCATTATTCGTTTCAGTTTCTAATAATGCACCAATGTAATCTATATTAATTATTTTATATTTAATTTTGATGTTAGTATGAAAAGAACAATAAATCAAGGTAATTTTCAAGGATAAAGTTTATAGAAAAATGCTATTAATGCTTACTCATGCTTTTAACAATAATTTGTTCACATTATTAAACTCTTGTTTGCAATTATCAGTGTTTTGAAGTGAATTAATGAAAAACAACATAAGGGGTAAAAAAGGTATTTCAACACTTTTCAGTCTCTTGTTAGAAAACACCATATTAAATCAAGTAGATATTGCATATCTGCATTGTTGTGGACTGAATTATAAAATTTTAAGTAATTTATACTAGCCTAAAAGAAACATATTGGTTTAACTATTTCAGTTTTAATCATTGAACTATGGACTCTTTTGAGGTTTTGTGGGTTGAACAGGTTGATGCTAAAGTGGAGGAAAATATTCCACCAAGTAGATGAACGGAATGATGACTGAAAGGCCAAATAAAAGGGCTAGGAATCTTTCTTCTACTGTGGAATTTTATTGAAAAACTTGTATCCTGATGGGAAATTAAGGGCCAAATGCAAAAATATGTGAAAAAAGCCACATTCAATTTGCAGAATCCGATGCAGAGAAACTTGTGAAGATATGCGATTTAGAGAGTTGATACTGTATTTGCATCCAGATGCTATGATACCATATGGGCGTGTTGACATTTTGAATGTGAACAAATTATGAAATGTTTTTTAAGTTGAAACATGTTTTGTTTAAACTATCAGGTAGAATAAATTTGACTGCAGATGTGTGGACTTCTTGTATTACAAAGAATTATATTGCACTAACTGTACACTTTGTTGTTGATCAACATTGAAGCTGCCAAGCAAAAAACTCAAACAGATCAAGCTAAAAAGTCTCATATTTATCTGTATATTTTAAAACAGTCCCATAATCTGCAAGTATTGGGTCTAACGAACTGGCCCGCAGACCTGGGACAATATACCCACCCCGACCAATAATAAAAGTCATGAAAAAAAGCTTGTAGCTTACAAACTGAATTTTGAACGCCTGACAAAAATGCTCTATGTTTTCTCACCTCTGCATTGATTTTTTTTTTTAATTTTAAGATTTGATTTAATTTGTTTATATGCCATTATTTAATCAAAATACATATATAATATAAATCTTTGAAGGTTTATCAAATGAATTGGTAAAGAAAATAATATTTTTAAATTGTAAAACTATTTTTATTTTCTGAGTATCCATTGACTCAATCTATTATTAATCAAGTTGGTTCGGTTTGGATTTAGTAGAGAGACGACACATATCGAACCCAACCCAACCGAAACTATTTAAACATGGTTGGGTAATGGGTTTGGTGAAACCCAACCCTAGCCTTTTTAATACTGAAACACATGTGATTACATTACTGTTATCATTTGACAATGAAATAATCGCAGTGACTATATTACTATCACAAGTAACAAGTTGAATAGCGAAGAGGTCACATACCTGGACTAGATTATAAAGGTTTTCTTGATCCTCTTCATGAAAAGCAGTTCTCTCTGCCCTATTTTTGACAGTTTCAGATATCATAGACTTTTTCTTTTTCAATTCTGCTCCAAGAAACCCACCAGAGACAAAACCATACTTGTAGCCCCACCACTCTGGCGGTACAGCAGGATATTTGCTTTCTGTACCAATGCAGTAACCAAATTTCATATGCCAATTAACATAAAAAGCACAAACTTCATTTCAGTTCAAGTGTATACCTTCATCTTCAAAATTTTGAATTTCAGATACCTTGGACATGTCCAGCTCACCATCAAAATTATCAGTAACCCCGGATATTTCACTCTTTTTAACCTATCACCAACATCATAGAAGTAAAGAAACAATGACAAGCTTGTATGATATAAAGACTGGAAAACACATTTAAGAAGCTAGTATATAGAAAATGCTACCACTATTACCTTAATATTTTTAATTTAAATATTTAAAGTATCAGGACTTTTCAAAAAGAAAAGAAAAAAGACCAAGGGCATCTAATCTTCAAGCATCCATTCATGTAATGAAATCAGAGAAGATTGAACAAAATTGTGCTTTCTCGAATATCAGAGTTGCAATTCAAAAATAATCTTCAAAAAGAGATGTTCCAGGTTCATTGAATAAAATACAAAAGCAAATCTATTGAAAGAATCCAGAAACTAGAATAACAAAGTAGAAATGCACATATGAACATGGATGGGTACATACACCAGCCAAATTCATTCACGACAATGTTAGAGACAGTGATTCATTTTATTCAACAACTGGAGTTGTGCAGAAATATAAAGTATATCTAAACAATTGATGAATGAATATTTTATTGAATAGGAGTCAAGCTTTTAAATAAGACAGAAAACAAAAGATAACTGACATAAACAAATTAAAACAGAACCTAAATATTTGCATAACAGACTCAACAAAATATAACAAACTTCAACAAACCCTCCCTTAAACTAATTGCAGTCATGGACTTTGTTTAATGCTGGAATTTCACATACTCCCAAGTAGTTTTCAAAATTTCTAAAAAGACTCTAATTTTAAAGGCTTGGTCATAATATCTACAATTTAGTCTTGTGTTCCACAAAGAACTAGCTGGATGACTCCATCTCCTGTGAGATATCTGAGGAAGTAAAACCTTACATCTATGTGCTTACTCCTTCCATACATAACTGGGTTTTTGGACAATTTGATAGTTGAGCAATTATCAAACATCACTTTCTGTTTGATCAAATCCTAACTCCAGCATAGTCACTATTAGTAAAACCCAATAGCTTCACAGTTCCTCCTCTTTTATACAGAATCCCATAGTTCTCAATACCCTTCAAATACCGGAGAATTCTCTTAGCCACTTTAGCATGCATTTCTATAGGTTGAATCATGTACATGCTAATTAAGCTAAACACAAACATCAAATTTGGCCGGGTGGTAGTGATTTACATTAGACTACCAACCATTTGTTTAAAATGAGTTTCATCAATTTTGACTCCCCCTTTATCTTTACATAAATCATTACCTGGTACAATAGGATTGTTGACAAAATTACTTTCTTCCATGCCAAATCGCCTCAGAATTTTTCGACTATATTTCCTTTGGTATATGTAAATCCCATTTGAACACTGCAACACTTCCATTCCCAAGAAAAATCTCGTGTTTCCTAAATTTGTCATCTCAAACTATTGTTGCATAGATTTCTTGAAAAGGTTCATCATAAACTCATCATTTCTCGTGTATATAAGATCGTTCAAATAAACACTAATAATAAGAATTTTACCTTCTTTGTTCCATTTGAAGAAGAGTGTTTGCTCATTTTGATTTTGCTGAAAACCTTCACTAACAAAATAAGACTCAATGCGGCTAAATCAAGCTCGTAGTGCTTGTTTTAAACCATACAGAGCCTTGTGAAGTTTATAAATCATATGCTCACTTCCTTTCTTCTCATATCCTTATGGTTGAGTAACATACACGACTTCAGTCAAGGTTCCATGTAGGAAAGCAGATTTGACATCAAGTTGATATATATTCCATCCTCGTTGTGCAGCAATTGCTATTACCATTCTAATAGTATCCATCCTAGCTACTAGTGCAAAAACTTCATTGTAGTCAAGACCATGCTTTTGTGAATACCCCTTAGCCAGTAAACGTGCTTTGAATTTCTCCACTTCTCCATGTTAATTTACTTTGGTTTTGTATATCCATTTGACTCCAATCTTCTTTGCCATTCGGCAACTCAACCAATTTCCAAGTATGGTTCTTCTCTATAGTTGTGATTTCATCCTCCATGGCTTGCCTACATTTAGCAACTTTTACTGCATCCTCAAAACATATTGGATCTGCAAGATCTACCAAAGTCATATGCACAATATCTTCATCTTCGTCTGTCAATCCTTCTCCTAACACATAATCTTCCATCCACCTTAGAGCACATCTTACTCTTCCTTCTTCATTTACAACATTCTGCATTGTATAAATTTGATCTCCAATTTGATCAGCCTTTTCTATTTCTTTCTCCTCAATTGGGTTTGCATCAATATGATCATATATGTTGTTCCCACATTCAATTTTGCAGGCTGCATTCCAATCCCACTGTTTTTCTTCTTCAAAGATGACATCTCGGCTTACTAAAACTTTTTCTGATGCAGGATCATATACCTTGTACCTCTTTGATTTATCACTAACACCAAGGAGGACACATTTCACACTCTTGGCTTCCAATTTGGTCCTCTTAGCATTTGGAATATGTGCATGTCCTACACATCCAAATCCTCTAAAATGTTCAACAAAAGGTTTCTCACCACTCCACGCCTCCTCTGGTGTCATTCCTTTACCAGCCAATGTGGGAGACTGATTTAGAACACATATTGTCCACATCACAACTTCAGGCTAGAACGTTTTTGGAACTCCTTTGGCAAACAACATTGATCTAACTAGGTTCAATATCGTCTTATTCTTACATTCGGTCACTCCATTATGTTGTAGAGTATAAGTTGTAGTTAATTGCCTCTTTATCCCATTCAATTTACAAAAGTCATTGAACTCTACCAAATAGAATTCTCCTCCCCTATTTGTACGTGGACATTTAATAGTCAACCCACTTTCTTTCTCAACAAGTATTTTAAAACACTTAATAAACACTTAAAATGATGGAACGCTTTTGATTTTGTCAATAAGAAATATACCCAAGCTTTTTCTAAAATAGGCATCTATAAAGCATAAGTACCTTTTTTGGCTATTAAATGTTGGTGTAATGAGACCGCAGATGTCTGCATGAATTAATTGTAATTTTTTGCATGCTCTCCAATGACTTTGTTTAGGAATTGTCTCACAGTGTTGCTTGCATTGAACACAATTAGTACACATAATTATAGGAGCAGACAACAAAGGCAAGCATGAACCATCTGACTTTTCTGAAGCAATTGTAAACCTTGGTGACAAAGATGAGCATATATGCAATGCCACAAATGAGGAAGCTCTTGTGTTGTGGTGTTGAAACATATTTCATTTTTTGTTGAAATCCTTGCAGGCAATATAAACACCTGTTTGAAGTCACATTGGTTTGTAAGATTATCCTTTGTGAGGATGATACATATTACACCTTCTTGACTTAAACATGATGGTTAGCCCTTTCTCTTGTAGTTGGCCAATGCTCAATAGATTATTCTTGAGCTCAGGTACATAAAAGACATCTTGTATCACATGAATGACACCATTGACATTCAACTTCACGTTTCCCTTGCCAAAAAGGTTCATCTTCGTGTTGTTTCCAAGCTTTACTACACGTCTAAAAGATTCATCCATCTCATTGAAATTTGATTTATCCCCACACATGTGATTTGAGCATCTTAATCAAGAAACAAAGCATCTTCCTTCCTTGTATGATGTTGAGGAAGCTTAATGTGAGACATGAGCAGAATTTCTTCTTCTTCATCAAATTCTGCATAACTAATTTCTTTGTCCATTCATACTGGTATTGACCTAGCTTGTGGCATTTGAAGCATTCAATCATGGCTCGATTGAAACCTTGCCTTCCTCTTCCCTTGTGCCAAAATTATCTGAACTCACCGTCAATGCTTGTTCTTTTCCACTTGATCTAATAAACTTTTGCTCAGGGACAACTAGAGAACTTTGTAGTTCATCAATAGTAAGTTTATCAATGTTCTTAGATTCTTCAATTGAGACAACAACATAATTGAATTTCTTGGTTAACATTCTAAGGATTTTTCCAGCAATAGTAACTTCCTTCATATCTTCACCATTCTCCGCATCTTGGTCGCTATATTCAAAACTCGAGCAAAATATTCGGTTATGGTTTCACCCACTTTCATTTCTAGAACTTCAAAGTCTCTTCTTAGTGCTTGGAAAACAGAACACTTTACTTTAGCATTCTCGACAAACTTTTTTCTTCATTTAATCCCATACCTTCTTCGATGTGCGTTTCCCCATAATTTGTTCAAGAATTGTTCTGTCAATGGCTTGAAACAAATAATTCTTAACTTTGAGGTCTTTCATAATCAGATACTCCAACTCCTTTTGCTGCTCCTCAGTTAACTCCACTCCTTTTGGAGTTTCTTCATAACCATTCTCCACCAAATTCCAATAACCCTTTGATCTCAAAAGGTTTTCCATAAGCATGCTCCAATGGTCATAATGACCATCAAAACGTGGTATGGCAGGTTGCACAAAACTCTTATCCTCACTCATTTTATGATTCACTCAAAGGCTGCAGCTTTTTTTTTTATCAGGCCCCAAAATGGAGCTCTGATACCAATTTGTAGAAATATTAAAATATATCTAAACAAATTGATGACTGAATATTTTATTGAATAGGAGTCCAGCCTTTAAATAAAGGCAGAAAACAAAAGATAACTGACACAAACAAATTAAAACAGAACCTAGATATTTGCGTAACAAACCTAAATATTTGCATAACAAACTCAACAAAATATAACAAACTTCAACAAGTTGTGTCGCATTTCATATTCAACTATATCAGACACTAGGGAAAAGAAACATCAAATATTCCATCACATAGTGGTAATACAGCATGTCAGCATGATCACTCAGGTTGTTAAAATGTAGAGTTGTGTATTACGAGGGATGGAACATACAAGAATTCCTTCAAGATCCTTCAGGGAATATTGCGAGACAAGTTTCCCCCTCTCTCTTCTCTTGTATCTAAAAGAAAGCAAAGTTAAAGTCGTGCACTATTAAATGAAGATTATACAAAAACATAAATCATAATAGAAGAGAAACAACCAACCTTCCCTGTGGCCTTGTAGTTTTGGAGACAGAATCATTATCATTAATAGGAACATTAGCCTTGGTTTCCACCTTAGGTGCGTTTTCCTCCATGTCTATCAAAGTTCACAAAGCACAATCCTCAAACACAATCAAGTGGGAAAATAACAGACGTTTGTGAATATGGTATGACTATACCTGTGTCATGGGATTGAGGCGCTTGCTATACACATCACACAGAAAAATAAAGATCTCAGTGAAGAGCTAAAAAAATTGAACGTACACTAAAAATAAAAGTGAGGTAGAAACATACAACTTTCAATCTCTTGAGTATATTATCAAATTGAGAGGTATCGAAGGCCCAATGGTTTGGCTTCTCAAGGCCAATACCTGACATATATATATATATATATATATATATAGAGAGAGAGAGAGAGAGAGAGAGAGAGAGAAACGTATAAGCATTGCGGTTGCAAGAGAGATAAAAAGGAAAAGTAAAATTGAACAGAAAAAAGAAAGAAGAAGAAACCAATAGTGTCTTGTTTGTTTTGGACTCGAACGTATCCTTTGATCCCCTGCTTCTCTTTTCCGAGACCTTCTCCTTCTTCCCAACCCTAACATCATACATAATACAGTTGAATTAAATGTATACGAGTAAAGTATAGAATGAATTGAAAGGTGGAAAGATGAGGGTTCACCATTTGCTTCATGAGACGAAAGGCAGCGGATTGCCTGGCGACACCGACGTAACAGAGAGGGGATTCGGGCGCCGCCATGGCTCCGCCCACCGCACACCGCCGTTGCTGCCTTGTTTCTTTCACTTCTTCTCTTTCGAGTGGTTTACTTTAGAAACCCCAAACAAAGCCTCTCTTACCAACCACTATCACACAAGGGTTTCGCTTTGTTTCTTAATTTTTTGTAAGGACTCTCAATTAGTTCATGGACAATGGGCTTCCCTCGGCCCATATCATTCTTCACCAAGGATGTTGCTTCCTGCACCCCATAATTTCTCTCTCCACCCCATAATTAAATTAGACCCTTACACTTATATTCATCTTCCATAAGTATTTATTTCAATGGTTGATTTTTAAACCCTACAACACCATTTTCATTCTTTTCTCTCCAATTCTTCCAAAAATTACAAGAAACAGGAAAGAATGTCCAACTTTTTTTATTTTGTATCAAATTTTTACATATATATTATTCATGCAACAAATTTTTCAGCTGGAAACACATTACAGGGAATGAGAAAGCTGAAATTTGTTTTGAAAAACATGTATTTGGAAAGTGTTTTTTATAATGCATATTCGAATATGTATTTGCACTCTTTATAATATATTTTCATAATTAATTTTCTAGAAATGCCGTCTGGATCGATCTTTCTATAATTGATTTCCAAAAATAATATTTTATAATGGGTGTTATGGAATTCAACAATACTTGTTTTAGATTGTGTAATTTTAGTTGATGAATATGTAATTCATATATAATATTAATTATTACTTATTTTTAATGGTTAGAAAATATTTTCAATAAAGATAATAACAAAAAAATAATAATCAAATGGAAGAGATGACAATTAAACTCGTACCTCCGAGTTTGACGGAAAAACTCGAGTTGACCGGGGGAGGAGGATGGGTTTTCTCCGTTTTAAAAAGTCGAGGCCGAGGGCGGGGATGGGCAATGCAATCCCCACCCCGACCCCGACTCCGTCCCCGACTTTATATTTAAATTTAAATTTTAAAATATTAATATTTTAAAAGTATTTCCTTTTTTTCTATTACGTATAAGGTCATTTTTTATATTTCACCAATTTTAATTTTTTTCTACTCACTTTTTAATTTTTTTGTCTTTTTTAATCTTTTATATCAATTAATTTATTACATTATTCTCTCTTACTTTTTAGTTTTTCACATTTTCTTAATCTTTTCCATCAATTTGTTTTTTTTTTCAAAATTTTCAACCAATTTGATGAACACAAAGTTAATTTTATTTCTTTTTTATCTTTTTTCTAAATATTTTACATAAATCTTAATAATAACTAATATTATTTTATTTATAATTTATATTTATTAAGTTTTATTATGTCATATTTTTTTATCTTATTTATCATATATCAAATTTTATCTTAACAAAATAATTATATTTTAAAGGATTAAAAGGAATTGATAATTTAAACTTTTATTACTTTGAACTAATTAAATAAGAATTAATTTATTAAACATTTTCTTATAAATTATATATTTCATATTTTTAAATGACAACTTAAAAATGAATTAACTTATATATATAATCAAATGTTTGAATACAATATTATAATAATAATGTTATAAGTATTCAAATATTTAAATACAGATGTTATAATAATAATAATGTTATAAATATTCTATATATATATATATATATATATATATATAAAATAATTAAATATTTCTTTTACATGCATATTTTAATATAAATATAATAAATTAAAATATATATTTAATTAATAATAATTATAAATTATAAATTTATAAATATTTATTTATATATAAAAAATACATAATAAAATTAATTTATTATAAATGTAATTATCTTTTTAAAAATAATATAAATTGAGGACAAGACGGGGGTGGAGAACCCGAAACCCAGCAGAGATGGGAATGAAGACTTAATTGTTAGAATTAATTTAAATGACTCATATGAAATATAATGATAGGCCCAAATGTGATTTAATAAATTATAAGGACCTATTGGTTATTATGTGAAGTCGAGAATAAAATAAAGATAAAATAAAATATTAACTTACGGTAACCAACTTGATGGACGTTGGTTAATAAAAGGGATTACGGTTGCATCTCCGGTCATAAGGTTTTTTCACGGTAAAACCATCAAGAAAGCGAAGTGTGAGAAGAGAAAGAAAGACAAAGAGATAGATTGGAGAACGAAAAGATTGAAGAAAATATTCTCATGGATCAAGGTTAGTCTTCTTACTACGATTCATGTATTGATGTATGTAAAATTGTGAAAATCAATAATCTAAAGATCATGTAGAGTAGTTTTCTATAATGAATTAAGAACGTAAGAAAACTACAGAAAAGTTTACATGTGGTATCAGAGCAATAGTTATTAGATTTATGATTTTCCTTTTATGAAATTTTTTCCTAAATTATGTTTTTCCCAAATTAAGATAAATCCTAATTATGAATTTAGGAAATTTTATCAGATTAATGTGAACCCTACTTATTCCCAAATTAAGATAAACCCTAATTATGAATTTAGGAATTTTTTATCAGATTAACGTGAACCCTAATTATTCCCAAATTTATTTTTTCCTAAAATTGAATAAATAGATAAGCCATAATTTATGGATAAGGTTGTATTTAATTTCAAATTGAAATCAATTTGATAATTTATGTGTTTTAATGGTTATGTAATCCTTTTAATTGAAAAGAAAATTTAAGCATTTTACTCTTTGGTGTCAATGCTCACGTAATAGTTTTTATAATGTAATTAATTTCCGCTGCAATTAAGTTGATGGGACCTGGGCAATTGAAACAATTCACGTATGGCTAATGCAAGAAAAGCATACTTGAAATCAAACACGTTTTCTTTTTGTCGCTTTTCATTTATTTCTGTTGCAATTGATTTAAAGTTCTTAATGAAATGTGAATACTGGATCAAGTGATGTGGCGGTCACCGGAGGTGTTTGGGTGATGGATTCAAAGAAAAAAAATAAAAAAATTGCATCCTGAAGAAAAGGTCCTAGTGGGTCCGTGCTTGTTGAAGAGAGAGTCTTAATTAGGGATGCTAATTAGATTCGCTCTTCATGGGTCACAACCTCTCAAATGATTGGTTGACATTAAAGTATGCTAACACGAACGTAAGGGGACATGTCCTGGAGAACGTGAAACGCAATGAACGTGTCAAAGTGGTTGGGATGGTAGAATTAATTTAATTAATTTATATTAATAGTAATTAAAAATATTATTTTATTTGAAATTAAGTATGATAAATTTTGTTAGTCACCAAAGTGACCAAAATTTTAAGGATATTTTAATTTCAAATTATTAATGATTTTATTTCAATTACCCATAGTATGAACGCTAAAATTATGAATAATTGATTTATGGGTTAATTGAAGTTCATTATTATAAGATATTTTAGGATCACCCAAAGGTTGATTAATTGTTATTATAATTAATGAACATGAAAGTAGATAATTTTATACGCGTCACTAGTTTTATTTAAATACCCAAAGGTATTAGGTGATTTTAGTTGATGCATATTTTAATTATCATTAATGTTATAAAAAGTTTAGCGTAATCATGTTTGTGTATTGGTGGATCTCCCAAAGGAGAACATTGGTATGCAGAGAATGGTAATTTATGGTTGAATCTGTATTTATGTTTAATTTTATGACTTAAAGTATTAATGTTAGGCATGTATTAATTGCAGTATCTGTTCCTGTAGCTCTGCATTCGCTATCTTTGTTTGTTCCAGTCTTTAATGGGTTAAATTTCCCTTACTAGAGTGAACAAGTCCAATTTCACTTAGGTGTGTTGGATCTTGATTTGGCTTTCCAAGTTGAAAAACCGGCTGCTATCATTGATGCTAGTAGTAATGAAGACAAAACTCATTATAGAGCTTGAGAAAGATCAAACAGACTTAACCTTATGTTTATGCGAATGAGTGTAGCAAGCAATATTAAGTCTGTTCTTCCCAAAACTGAGGATGCGAAAGAGTTTATGAAATTTGTGAAAGAGCGCTCTCAAACTGCTGACAAATCCCTCGCTGGGACATTGATGAGTATGTTGACCACCATGAAGTTTGATGGTTCTCGTAGTATGCATGAACACGTAATCAAAATGACAAATATCGCAGCAAGACTCAAGTCTCTTGGAATGACAGTGGAATAAAATTTTCTTGTGCAGTTCATTTTGAACTCGTTACCGCCTGAGTATGGTCCGTTTCAGATGAACTATAACACCATGAAAGACAAATGGAATGTGCATGAATTGCACAGTATGTTAGTTCAGGAGGAGACCAGACTCAAGAACCTAGGAAGTCACTCTATTCATTACGTGAAAAATCAAGGAGCTAAAAAGAAAGTTGTTAAGAAACATGAAAAGGGTAAAGGACCATTAAAGATTAACGAGTCCTCTACGAACATTCAGAAGAAAAATGACAAATGTCATTTCTGCGGGAAGTCTGGACATTTTCAGAAGGACTGCTTAAAGCGTAAAGCTTGGTTCGAAAAGAAAGGTGAGCATAGTGCTTACGTATGTTTTGAATCAAATTTAACTGAAGTTCCCCATAATACTTGGTGGATTGATTCTGGATGTACGACTCATGTTTCTAATGTGATGCAGGGATTCCTTTCAACCCGAACCATAAATCCAAATGAGAAGTTCGTCTTCATGGGGAATAAAGTCAAGGTTCCAGTGGAAGTTGTCGGGACTTATTGTTTAATCCTTGACACTGGATATCACTTAGACCTTATGGATACTTTTTATGTACCTAGTATCACTAGAAATTTAGTTTCTTTGTCTAAGCTTGATGTTGTTGGATACTCTTTTAAGTTTGGGAATAGTTGTTTCAGTTTATTTAAGCGTACATGTATGATTGGAACTGGTACACTTTATGATGGTTTATATAAATTGAACTTGGATAATTTATATGCTGAAACTCTCATGACCTTGCATCATAATGTTGGCACTAAACGTAGTTTGGTGGATGAAATATCTGTTTATTTGTGGCATAAGCGTTTGGGACATATCTCCAAAGAAAGAATGCA